TGACTCACCCCCAGGCCGATAATGTCCAGCCCCAGGTTGAGGAATTCATCCTCCATGTTGATGACCACGGGGCTGGGGGTCATGGTGGGGGTTCGGAGGGTGGGGTGGCGATTTGATGAGTGGGCTGGACATGCTGGAAATCCTATGGGGGTAAAGCGGAGAAGGGCGTCACCCCCCCTCCGGGGGCCGGAGTCTTTCCTTTCCCCAAAGGATTGAAGTTTTGCTCGCTGCTGGTAGAGCGTGACGGGATGTGACATCATGCAAGAAAACGCAGGCCGATGCGGAGAACGGCAAGCGGGGGTCAGGCGTCCTGGGAGTGGGTGGCACGCGGAGTGCCCGACCCGCCAGGGTGGGATGGCAACCGTCGAGCAAGCCGCGCCAGCCCGCGGCGTCGCACGCCCGTGGCGCCGCAACCGACCAGCCCGCAGCCGCCCCTCCGACCGCGCCGCCTCCGGCCCCCCTCCTGCCACCACCACAGTGCAGGCCTACACAGCCAGCCCAGTCATCACCCCACCCCCCCTGCCCCCCCACCTGCCGCCGGAGGCGTCCAGCCGGGCGTCCAGCTTCCCGATGGTTACCTGGGTGCAGCGCCCAAACATGCCCACCATGGCCTCGTAGTACTGCCTGTGGAATGCAGGCACAACCGCGCGCCGCCGCAGCTGGAGGGTGGCGATTGCGAGGGGGGTGGTTCGGAGGGCCCAGGTTGGTGGCAAGGAGGAGCAGCGCTTACGAGGGAGCGCATGGCCAGGGCGGAGCGGATGGAAGGACTCCCGGACCCTGTGGCAACACGCATGAAGCAAATCAGCGGGGCGCGGCCGGCTGCAGGGGTCCAGGCCTCGCTCCGCCAAGTAGGATGGCGTTGCGGGGCGCGTGTTGCGGGCGAGCGGTGGGGGCGCTGGGGGGCCTGCGTGCCTTCCATGTCTCCAGGTCAGCGGGGATGAGTCCCTTCCCCATGATGGGCTCCAGGATTTCAGCCAGGACCCCCTTGTCATAGTTGAAGGCGTTCTCCTGGGGGTGGGGTGGGGTTGGGGGGGGGGTGTGGTGTGGTGTGGTGTGGGGTAGGTGCAGGGTTGTGGGTGTGCTGTCATGTGGGCATGTGTGAGTGCATGTGGTAGGTGTGGGCATTCGTGCGTGCGTGGAAGAGGGCGTGCGTATGAGTGTTTGTGTGTGGGTGCGCATGTGTGTGTACGTGCGTGTGCGTGCGTGTTGGTACATGCGCACATGCTCGTGTTTTGCTTGGAGTTGTGCAAATGTACACAGGCCTATCAGCCTCCTACATTTGCGCACCCCCAAGCATCAAACGCCCTTGCAGACCCCCCAGCCCCGCAGCCGGCCACCGCACGGTGCACCGGCGCGGCTGCCAACCATCCTCGTACCCCGGGCCCCCCAAAACAGCACCCCTGACACCCCTTGATGCCCGCTGCCCACTCCCCCTCCCCCCGGGTATTCCCCCCGGGTTAATATTCGAATCATGGCTTGCCTTGAGGATGTGGCGGACCACCACTGGGTCTGACACCACAATGAAGGCCTTGGGGCCAAACACGAGCTTGAACACACCCCCAGACTCAAGGAACCTGAGGGGCAGGAAACGCCGCTCTCAGCAGCGCTCACGCCGCCCGGACCGGGCCGTCAGAGAGCAGCGCTCCGGCACGCGCCCCGCCCCGCGCCGCACCCCGTCGGGGCCCGCGCCGGCGAGCCTCGGCGGCGCGGGGTGGGCGCTCGGCCGGCCGCTGCCTCGACAAGCCCCTTGGGGCGCCGCAACCGCTTCAGGGGTGAGGCTATGAGGGCGGCGTCACGCCCTAGCCCGTTGTGGCCCCTACTGCTCAGGGCTGGATCCCGGCGCCCGCAAGCGCGCGTGGGCGCCCAAATGCCGCGGCCGGCGCCGCTGCAGGCCACGAGCCCCCCCGGCCCCGGCCCCCGCGCGCCGCTTATGGGGGCGCCCACCACTTGTAGAGCGCCTTGAAAAGCGGCTCGTCCCCCGCCAGGTCAGACAGCTCCCCCTCCGCCACTGGGATGGTCTTGCCGCCTACGTCTGGTTGGAAGTAGCCCTGGCTGACCTCTGTGAGCAGCCGGCTGAGGCCGTCCGCCAGGTTGCCCTTGCCCTTCACGAGCGCGTACAGCAGTATCGCCGCGCCGGGCGCGAAGAAGGCGGCGAGGCCGAGGAGCTCCGGGGGGACGGCGCCGGCGCGCGCCGCGACGGCGCGGCGGGGGCGGGAGGGGGCGGCGGGCGACGCGCGGC